ATCGTTATGTTCTCACCCTCACTGATGACTTGAGTAGATATGGGTATGTCTACTTAATGAAACACAAGTCTGAGACCTTTGAAAGGTTCAAGGAATTTCAGAGTGAGGTTGAGAATCAACGTGACAGGAAAATCAAGTTCTTGCGATCAGATCGTGGAGGAGAATACTTGAGTCACGAATTTGGCACACACTTAAGAAAAAGTGGAATAGTTTCACAACTCACGCCGCCTGGAACACCTCAGCGTAATGGTGTGTCCGAACGTCATAATCGCACTCTATTAGATATGGTGCGATCTATGATGTCTCTTACCGATTTACCACTATCATTTTGGGGCTATGCTTTAGAGACTGCCGCATTCACTTTAAATAGGGCTCCGTCGAAATCCGTTGAGACGACACTGTATGAATTATGGTATGGGAAGAAACCAAAGCTGTCGTTTCTAAAAGTTTGGGGATGCGATGCTTATGTCAAGAAACTTCAACCTGAAAAGCTCAAACCCAAGTCGGAAAAATGCGTCTTCATAGGATACCCTAAAGAAACTATTGGGTATACCTTCTACCTCAGATCCGAAGGCAAGATCTTTGTTGCCAAGAATGGATCCTTTCTAGAGAAGGAGTTTCTCTCGAAAGAAGTAAGTGGGAGGAAAGTAGAACTTGATGAAGTATTACCTCTTGAACCAGAAAATGGCGCAACTCAAGAAAATGTTCCTGAGGTGCCTGCACCGACTAGAGAGGAAGTTAATGATGATGATCATGAAACTTCAGATCAAGTTGCTACTGAACTTCGTAGGTCCACAAGGACACGTTCCGTACCAGAGTGGTACGGCAACCCTGTCTTGGAAATCATGTTGTTAGACAACGGTGAACCTTCGAACTATGAAGAAGCGATGGCAGGCCTGGATTCCGACAAATGGCTGGAAGCCATGAAATCCGAGATAGGATCCATGTATGAAAATGAAGTATGGACTTTGACTGACTTGCCCGTTGAGCGGTAAGCCATAGAAAATAAATGGATCTTTAAGAAGAAGACAGACGCGGATGGTAATGTGACCATCTATAAAGCTCGGCTTGTCGCTAAGGGTTATCGACAAGTTCAAGGGGTTGACTACGATGAGACTTTCTCACCGGTAGCGAAGCTGAAATCCGTTCGAATCATGTTAGCAATTGCCGCATTCTATGATTATGGGATATGGCAAATGGACGTCAAAACGGCATTCCTTAATGGTTTCCTTAAGGAAGAATTGTATATGATGCAGCCGGAAGGTTTTGTCGATCCTAAGAATGCTGACAAGGTGTGCAAGCTCCAACGCTCGATTTATGGGCTGGTGCAAGCATCTCGGAGTTGGAACATTCGCTTTGATGAGATGATCAAAGCGTTTGGGTTTATGCAGACTTATGGAGAAGCCTGCGTTTACAAAAGTGAGTGGGAGCTCTGTAGCATTTCTCATATTATATGTAGATGACATACTTTTGATGGGAAATGATATAGAGCTTTTGGACAGCATTAAGGCCTACTTGAATAAGAGTTTTTCAATGAAGGACCTTGGAGAAGCTGCTTATATATTAGGCATCAAGATCTATAGAGATAGATCAAGACGCCTCATATGTCTTTCACAAAGCACATACCTTGATAAGATATTGAAGAAGTTCAATATGGATCAGTCTAAGAAGGGGTTCTTGCCTGTGTTGCAAGGTGTGAAATTGAGCTCAGCTCAATGTCCAACCACGGCAGAGGATATAGAAGAGATGAGTGTCATCCCCTATGCCTCAGCCATAGGTTCTATTATGTATGCCATCTTGTGTACCAGACCTGATGTAAACCTTGTCGTAAGTTTGGTAGGTAGGTACCAAAGTAATCCCGGCAAGGAACACTGGACAGCGGTCAAGAATATCCTGAAGTACCTGAAAAGGACTAAGGAAATGTTTCTCGTTTATGGAGGTGACGAAGAGCTCATCGTAAAGGGTTACGTTGACGCTAGCTTCGACACAGATCTGGATGACTCTAAGTCACAAACCGGATACGTGTATATTTTGAATGGTGGGGCAGTAAGCTGGTGCAGTTGCAAGCAGAGCGTCGTGGCGGGATCTATATGTGAAGCGGAGTACATGGCAGCCTCGGAGGCAGCGCATGAAGCAATTTGGGTGAAGGAGTTCATCACCGACCTAGGAGTCATACCCAATGCGTCGGGGCTGATCAAACTCTTCTGTGACAACACTGGAGCTATTGCACTTGCCAAGGAGCCCAGGTTTCACAAGAAGACCAGGCACATCAAGCGTCGCTTCAACTCCATTCGTGAAAATGTTCAAGATGGAGACATAGATATTTGTAAAGTACATACGGACCTGAATGTAGCAGATCCGTTGACTAAACCTCTCCCTAGAGCAAAACATGATCAACACCAGAATTCCATGGGTGTTCGATTCATCACAATGTAACTAGATTATTGACTCTAGTGCAAGTGGGAGACTGTTGGAAATATGCCCTAGAGGCAATAATAAAAGGATTATTATTATATTTCCTTGTTCATGATAATTGTCTTTTATTCATGCTATAATTGTGTTATCCGGAAATCGTAATACATGTGTGAATACATAGACACCAACATGTCCCTAGTAAGCCTCTAGTTGACTAGCTCGTTGGTCAACAGATAGTCATGGTTTCCTGACTATGGACATTGGATGTCATTGATAACGAGATCACATCATTAGGAGAATGATGTGATGGACAAGACCCAATCCTAAACATAGCACAAGATCGTATAGTTCGTTTGCTAGAGTTTTTCCCATGTCAAGTATCTTTTCCTTAGACCATGAGATCGTGTAACTCCCGGATACCGTAGGAGTGCTTTGGGTGTACCAAACATCACAACGTAACTGGGTGACTATAAAGGTATACTACGGGTATCTCCGAAAGTGTCTGTTGGGTTGACACAGATCAAGACTGGGATTTGTCACTCCGTATGACGGAGAGGTATCTCTGGGCCCACTCGGTAATGCATCATCATAATGAGCTCAAAGTGACCAAGTGTCTGGTCACGGATCATGCATTACGGTACAAGTAAAGTGACTTGCCGGTAACAAGATTGAACGAGGTATTGGGATACCGACGATCGAATCTCGGGCAAGTAACGTACCGATTGACAAAGAGAATTGTATACGGGGTTGCTTGAATCCTCGACATCGTGGTTCATCCGATGAGATCATCGAGGAGTATGTGGGAGCCAACATGAGTATCCAGATCCCGCTGTTGGTTATTGACCGGAGAGCCATCTCGGTCATGTCTACATGTCTCCCGAACCCGTAGGGTCTACACACTTAAGGTTCGGTGACGCTAGGGTTGTAGAGATATGAATATGCAGTAACCCGAAAGTTGTTCGGAGTCCCGGATGAGATCCCGGACGTCACGAGGAGTTCCGGAATGGTCCGAAGGTGAAGAATTATATATAGGAAGTGCAGTTTCGGCCATCGGGAGAGTTTCGGGGTCACCGGTATTATACCGGAACCACCGGATGGGTCCCGGGGGTCCACCGGGTGGGACCACCCATCCCGGAGGGCCCCATGGGCTGAAGTGGGGAGGGGAACCAGCCCATAGTGGGCTGGTGTGCCCCCTTGGCCCACCCCCTGCGCCTAGGGTTGGAAACCCTAGGGTGGGGGGGGCGCCCCACTTGCCTTGGGGGCCACTCCACCCTTGGCCGCCGCCCCCCTAGGAGATCCCATCTCCTAAGGCCGGCTCCCCCCTTGGGGAGCCTATATAAAGGGGGGAGGGAGGGGCAGCCGCACCCTTGACTCTTGGCGCCTCCCTCTCCCCTGCTACACCTCTCTCTCTCGCAGAAGAACGGCGAAGCCCTGCTGCGGTGACTGGTGCATCCACCACCACGCCGTCGTGCTGTTGGATCTTCATCAACCTCTCCTGCGCCCCCCTCCCCCCCCTTGCTGGATTAAGAAGGAGGAGACGTCACGCTGACCGTACGTGTGTTGAACACGGAGGTGCCGTCCGTTCGGCGCTAGGATCTCCGGTGATTTGGATCACGTCGAGTACGACTTACTCATCCCCGTTCTTTGAACGCTTCCGCGCGTGATCTACAAAGGTATGTAGATGCAATCCGATCACTCGTTGCTAGATGAACTCATAGATGGATCTTGGTGAAACCATAGGAAAATTTTTGTTTTCTGCAATGTTCCCCAACAGGGCCCATGTCGATGTCGTCGTTGATGCCGCTGCCAGCGCCTGCCTGGTCGGTGAAGCTGAGCGGCCTGTCCATGGTGGCCGATGTCACCCTGTCCACTGCCGCCGCCCTCGTGTCCACCCTCGGCGGGAGCGCCAGCTCCTTGTCGACCCTGTCGAAGAAAGCGACCACCGGGTCGTCGTCCTGCGCGGTGCCCGAAGCCTGTGGCAGAGGCCGGGGAGGCACGAGCAGCGGATTGGAAGAGGTCGCATGCGTGCGCGAGGAGGACACACCGCAGGAGCGGCTTGATCCAGCCCCTCCCCCAGAGTGGCGCCCCCTGGGGGCGTGGTCCGAACGCCTGTCCTTGAAGGGGCCATGTCCACAGCACGAGGTTGGGGTGCGGCTGCGGTGGTGCACAGAAGCGGGGCGTGGCGCGGCCGGCTCCTTGCCGCGGCTTCGCCCGAGGAGCGTGTCCTTCCATGACCTTCGCTAGCCGCCATTGCCATCGCCGTCGTGGCTGCGCCTGTGGCCCACCGATGGCATGCCCTTGCAACCCGAGGACGCGACTTGCGCGGGCGGGCGCAAGCGCGGCCCCAGGTCCTGCGTAGCGCAAAGCACACTAGGAAGCATCAAGTAAATTTCTTCGGGACGAAGGCACTCCTGAGTCCCGACTCCCCGGCCAAAGGCAATCCTGAGTCCCGACTCCCCGGCCAACCTGAGCGCTGTCAATATATTAGGCTGTGCACAGTCCACACTTCACATCTTCACGGCTCCATCTTACTCTCTCACGCCCAGCCAGTGGATCATCGCGGCCTCTGCCCCAGCGACGCATCGATGGCACTGGCGCCACGACCACTGGCCACCACAGTTTTCGTCTGCCGGATGATGGCGGTCGTTCTGCAGGCCGCGGCCTTGACTTGCGTTGTGCTCGCAGGCGACCTCTGGTTCTCGACGTTCATGTATGCTACTATGCCACCTCTCTGGCTTCTTCTAGCTATCTGTTCAACCAACACCACTTCACTTTGGCATGCAGATTCCTCAAAGCTCTCCTGGCGGCGGAGCTGGCCTTGAACGCGGCGCGACTGATCTACGACGCGGCGCAGGTCTTCTTCCAGAAACCGCTGCCGGCCTTCCGCTGGCAGATGATGGGGCTCGTCGCCGCTGACTGGGTACCGTCCAGTAGTATTCTCTTTCGTGCTCGCCGGCTCGCGCAACCATATCTGTCGACCTACGAGTGCGTGCATGCATGGATTGCAGGTGATGATGCTCCTCCTTTCCGCTGCTGGGTCGAGCTCCCTCGCCGTGGAGGACTTCGTCCAGAACAACATGAGGCGTTGCGCGTGGCTGCATCCCGGGACGTGCGAGCGGTACAAGGCCTCCGGCGTACTTACCTTGCTGGCGTGGGCTTTCACTGCTCTGGTCGCCTGCGTTATGCTCCGTCTGCAAAGGATCTGGGATGAAGACGCCGCCGCCGCCGCCGATGCGTGATGGGCGGTCAACTTCTACCTAAGCATGAGAGATTTATTTGATACTAGACTGGTAAATAGTTTAGTTCGGCTACTATCGCTACGACGTCACAATGTGTACGTACGTGTAGACGTACTACCCCCCTATGATTATGATGATATATTATTCCCCGTATGTGATGCTTAAGTTTGGTTGTGGCTCACTTTGAAGATAACGTTTGCCGGTGGGCGGTTGCCGGTTGTCTGTTGGTAAGGGCATCTCCAGCCGTTGTGCCCTTCAAGAAGCATTTTTTCGCCGTTTGAGGGGTTGCCGGCGGAAATTTTGGCTTAAGGATGAATTTCTTTCCAGCCGTGTCCACCCTCAAGGGAGGAATGACACAGCGAGCCCGTGCCCTTGCCCGCCGCGTCCGCCGTCCAGGCCGCGCCCGCCGTCCAAGCCACGGTTGTCCCGTTCGCGCCCGCCCCAGGCCACGTCCGGCCCCGGCATCGAACCGAGCTCCTGCAGCACGTCGAGGGAGGAGGGCAGCTCCACGGGCTGCCACCATTACCGCCGATGCTCCTCGCGACGTCCAGCTCTGGGCCCTTCCGCTTCCTCCCCGGCGCGTCCCAGGCCTCCTCGGTGGTGCAGCAGCAGCGCGTCGGCGGCGAGGAAGCAGGACGCGGCGGTGAGCGCGGCGCGGTGGGAGCTTCGGAGCGAGGCGAGCGCGAGGGAGACCGCGTTGAGCACGTCGAGTGCCTTGACGGAGCGGTCGAGTAGGTCGGCGGCGAGGCGGTCGGCAGGGGGCCTGGCGAGGGCGTCCACGGCGTCGAGCAGCTTGGAGAGGAACGCCAGCGAGAGCACCGGCCCCTGGTGCTGCGCCGCGGAGGGGGAGTGGGCGGCGGGGGCGACAAGTCGATCGGCGAGGGGAGGGCGAGAGGAGGCCGCAGCAGGGAAGGCGGCCACCGGCGGGAGCGGGGCCGCGGTGGCCGGCGAGGGGAGGGCGAGGGGAGGCTGCGGAGGCGCGCCCCCTGGCGTGCGGCGGCGAGGAGGAGTCCGCGATGGTGGGTGGTAGGTGGCGGAAGGAAAAAAGAGAGGAGAGAGGAGAAAGAATAAAGAAATAGAGAGAAAGGAGATGAGAGGGGAGAGAGAGGGGCTGGCAAGTGGGGCAGCGCCTGCAAAAAGCAATGCCGGCGTCCCCAGCTGCCCCCCGGCGGCTGGGTGCGGGGTAGGCGTGCCGGCGCTAATTTTGGTAAAATCCGGCGAAAAACGATGTCCTGGGGGCCTGGCTGGGACGTTTTTACCTGCCGATGCTAAAAAAAGGTGCTTGGGGGGGCGTCCTGGGGGCCTTAGTGGAGATGCTCTAAGGTACCCCGCCGTCATATATCAGTATTCCCTCCGGTCCTTTTTAGTCTGCATATAAGTTTTGTCTGAAGTCAAAGCATCTTTATTTTGACCAAATTTATAGACAAAATATTAACATTTACGATGCCAAATCAATTTTGTTAGATTCATTATGAAATGTTATTTCATGGGATATATATTTAGTATGATAGATATTGATATTTTTTAATATATATTTGATTAAACTTTGTAAAGTTTGACTTGACCTAAATCTAATATGCAGAGTAAAAAGAATTGGAGAAAGTACAATGCACTTTCTTTCTTTGCTATGATATGCTGTCGAAAAGGCATTAAGCGCTAGGCATGAGGCTAGTACTTCACTATCCAAGTCAGCTGAAAAGGACAATGGTTGGTGAAGTACTTTAATGGCTGGCTGAAGATTTTTCAATCTGTTGAAGCTTTTTTATATTTACGATTGCAATTTTTCATGTGTTCTAAAGTTTGATTGAAGCTTTTTTATTTATTAGATGTATTTCCTCCGTTTTAAATTACTTGTCGTAGAAATGGATGTATCTAGAACTAAAATACATCTAGATACATCCATACTTGTGACAAGTACTCCCTCCGTCCGGAAATATTTGTCGGAGGAATAGATGTATCTAGACATAATTTAGTTCTAGATATATCCATTTCCGCGATAAGTAATTCCGGACGAAGGGAGTAATTCGGAACGGAGGAAGTAGCATTTTGCGTCCATGGTTGTAGCACAGGCACCGCCTTGTCCCTGCGTCGGGGTTGCAGCTCCGCTAGTCGCCATGGTTGGGCACCTCTGGTTCAAGCATTTTGGCATGCTGCCGGTTCCGTGCCGCGTGCTGTCCTTTTCAACTGCGGTGAGAGATGGCCGTCGGGAATTAGTGGATCAGTCCCCTCAAGCATTGGTGATCGAAGGGAGTTGCGCATCTGAGCACATGGATGAGGAAGGGGAGGGGCGCGCGTTGTTGCTGTCCACAAGATAGTGATGGATTCCCCGATTCCCGTGCGACCGGCCGAATGCTCCGCCGGCGCACAGTTTCCAAACGTTTTCTGTATGGAAAATGGAAAACGGTATCTAATGACTGGAAGTGCATACATAAAGAAACAGAGTATTATATTGAATGGGATTTTTTTATTTTCAAAACTGCACGCTTAAATGGAAACAAGCGCTAAATGATCTCGCATGTTAATCCCGCAAAATAATCTAAGATTGACTATCAGAAAAAATCAATTAGTAATTTAGTTTTTCTTCGCATGTTAATCCTACATAATAATTAATCCCTCGAATTTTGGTTTATTCCAAAATCTACAGGCCCATGTTTTCTATGCATGTTAATTCGGACCTATGTTTATAATACTACTAGATCAATAATGGCGCGCGTTGCCGCGCCTATCTATTTTGACAATAAGTTGATATTAAATTTTATACATAAATTATTATAAAACATGAAAGTTAAATATCACAGTCTTCTATATTGATGAGCGGACCCAGAAAAATATTCAAACCAATTTGTGCAAGAGCATCATACATCCAGCTAGTGGTACTACATTTAGGTTTCCAAAATGTGGGAATGATCTACCTCATGAAGAGCAGGAAGAAACTTGATATTTCTGACAGGTGCAATTTTTTCTTCCAGGAAGATAAGCATTCGTTCATGCCCAGAAATCCATCTCTAGCACAAATATGGAATCTGATCGCATCCATTTAATATAATGTGAACAATTTGTTAGAATTAATTAGAATTTGTAAGTAGGGAAAATTTCCCCTTGCCCAAACCGTCGTGCGTTTTGTCCCGCACAGACGCCTTCTCGCTCATGCCCTCTGGAACCGACACCTTCCTTCGATCGTGTCTCTCCAGATGGTATAAGTAGCGCATGTAAGCATCAATCGAGACAGAGATTTTTACTTTCGATCTCAAACACGTTATCAGCACGTAGAACAACCAGCGAAGAGCAAAGGAGAAAAGAAAAGGAGGGAAAGAGCACTCGCCGCCGGTGAGATGCCGAGCCTCGTTTCCTTCTTTCTCCGCCTGATCCGTGAGGACGGTCGTCGCTACCATGGCGTTGGTGGCCTCCGACGTTTCCGTCGCAGGATGCAGGCCGTCCGTCATTTCGGTCGTTGCGCCACTGGCCATTATGGTCACCGTGCCACTGGACGTTTCAAGTGTAAAAGCATAGAGAAAGATAGCATCCGTTTTCCAAACCAGAAACACACCAACTGTATTTCCAAGTGGAGATCTGGCACATGTAGTGAACCTGAAGACGAGCTCTAAAAGTATTTTTCATGTAGTCATGATGCTAAAGAAATGACGTTGCACTTTCCAGAACATACATGAAAAATACTTTTTCTTTGACTTACCTCACATTATTGAGCAATGTTATTCTTTAATATTATCTCTAACCCAAGGGAGCCTCATAGTGGTGAGAAATTACAAAAGACACATAATCTTCCATCAGTTGTATTCTTATAATCTCGAATCACAATTCAGCACTACAAACAACACAAAAAATTAGTATTAGGTCAACTGGAACATGGAATAGTTGGAGACCAATTACTCAACTATAGTCCTATATATGCATGGATAGTCCAATCAAATCAAAAGTTCAACCAATTTCATATGTTGATTCCAAAACATTGCATACTCTGCACCATGGCATGCAGGTAGCGATATATCAGGGAGCATCAATCATGGAGACCTCTGGTGGCTGAAGTGTATGGCCGAAGCTGCACCCACGGAACTGTAATTTGAGAGAGTACTCACAAAATGCATCGTGATGGAAAAGGTAGTCTACATGGCAAACTTTGAAGTGGCAATTGCTAGATATTACTCCTACATGAGAAGGTTAGAGAACATGTCCACTTATTCCTCGCCGTCAACGCCACAACCTCAAACTTAAATGAAATAATTAAGCTACGAAATTAAAGGGTGTGCGGAAGGGTTGTGACCAAGGTGTTGGGCAACTCGTTTGACAAAAGGCATGTTTCAGACGAGGATGGCTAACACGCGCGCGCGCGTCGCAACGCTCGGTTTCGGACCAGGTAGGCTTTCCTCTTAAGTATGTGCGCAATGAGTTGAATTTCCTTTTTAACTAACCAGAGTGGCAGAGATTGAGGACACGCCGGCCCTCCACCCCCCGTTGAAATCAGGGGGGCGAGAGAGATTAGGGAAAGTGGCGGGCCCGTGCTTGCATGTGTGGCTAAATTCACGGAGCAGAGAGAACGTGCTGGACCAGGGTGCTTGCATGCAACTGAGAAAGAAAATTTTGGTGGGTCCAGGCGCTCACGGGATTGCTACCATTCCTTGCATGCATCCTCACGCTGGGCACAAGGTAGGACCCACTAATAATGACCCTGGTAGTTTAGAAATGGAAAGTGGAAGGAGATACGCCGCTGTCTGTCGCGCGTCGCAACGCGCGAGCGCGAAGGAGTGATTTCGGTTTCAGACATAGCTTTACTATTCCCTGTTGATCTCGCCGGCGGCCACTCCGGCCCCGGCGCCCACATCTCGCGCCGGCCGCCGCTCCGGCCCCGGCGCCCACCTCACCTCTCCTGCCATGGCATCGCATCTCCACTTCTCTGCATCTGGCTCCTCTTCAGGGGCTTCCTCGTCGGCGTCTCCGCCGCCCCCCTCTCTGCCACCCCCTCCTCCACGGCCGTCGCTGCAGTC